CCAAGCGCTTCTGTTTTAGGGCACGAACAACTCACGAGGCGCCCCATTGATGTCACTCCATATATATACATATATATATATATATATGCATATAGGTTTCTTGAGCTTCCTTCGACAGGGCACCACCTTTCGCAGCTTTTGGCACCAGCTCACCCAGCTTTTGCGTGGACGGCCCGAAATGTGCGAAAACAGGGGCAGCCCCATCTTCCACAGGCTGAGGAGGCTAGCTGAGCCCCCATCTCGAGCAGGATCTTGTGAGCGTCATTGTGTTGCGAACGAGCACCCTCACACACCACTTGACCAGCTTTAAGGTCCCCCCCCCAGCAAATGACAGCCGAACCTGCAACTTGCCATTCTTGATTCTTTGCTGCCGCACCATGTTGGCCACAGCGTGTTCTTGGGCGTGCAAGGGTTTGGAAGTATGAGATTCAGCTCGCAGTCGTGAGAGATCTTTCGAAATAGCCTCCCGTTGACCGTCAGCCCGCGAGCCCGTGAGCCACTTGATGGTAGCAAGCGCCGCCTCCAAAGATTTGATCTCCGATGGCTTCGTCTTCGGCTCCGAATCATCCGTAGTGGCATCACCACAACCACCAGAGTCAACGTCCATTGTTGTTGCAGCAAGGTCGCGCCCAGAGAGGCCAGTCTTACGATACATAGCCAAGTAAAAACGAAGTTCTTCAATGAGCTTGACACTCTGGGCACCTTCACGCCAACGACAGCCCCCGATGTCCACGTCGTCGTCGTTGCCGATCCTGCGCTCCTGTTCAGACGGCGCAGCTGGCTACAAGTTCCCGTTGAACGCATCTTTATGTTCACGGCATTTGAAGCACTTAAGATTATTGCCCCAGTTGATGAGTCGTTTGCCCGACCAGGGGTGTTTGCAATCCTTATTAGTGCCAATCACTCTGTTTCTTATTCATGGCTCATGGCTATGGATGTTGTTGCTCGGCCACGCTTCAGCAGAGACCAGAGGCGGCCCAGAGGAGCAGCAGCAGCAAGGGGATAACGAAGAAAGCACAGTGGCGGGTCCCCGAGCACGCCCTGCACGTAGTCGTTGCAGCAGGTGTCTGCGGCCCCTCTGACGCACGCCGCGCTGAAGATTTGCGTCAGCAAGCTCAGGAAGAAGACCCGAGCCAGAACGGCTGAGGAGGAGGAGGACGAGGAGAATGAGTAGGAGAGGAGGAGGAGGAGGAGGAGGAGGAGGAGGAGGAGGAGGAGGGAGATCATGGCGGGGACCACGATATCTCCCAGATCTTGTGGCCCTTTTGTTTTCACACTTCTCTTGTGACGACGGCCGAGCAGGCCCCGCTGGGGCTCGACAACATGATCGGCTTTTGCGCGCCCGAGCGTTGTCATTTGCGGAGCTGGCCAGCCGTGGCGGCGGGGGCACCCCATCCTTCTCCTACCCTCCTCCCCTCCTCCCTCCTCCTCCTCCTCCTCCTCCTCATCATCATCCTCCCCCTACTCTTCCTGCTCCTCTTCCTCCTCCCGTTCCTCATCCTTCGCATCCTCCTATTCCTCCTCCTCATCCTCCCCCTACTCTTCCTGCTCCTCTTCCTCCTCCCGTTCCTCCTCCTCCTTCGCATCCTCCTATTCCTCCTCCTCCTCCTCCTCCTCCTCCTCCTCCTCCTCCTCCTCCTCCTCCTCCTCCAGCCCATGGACGCGCCCTACCAGAAAGAGTACGCCAGCCCGTGGCCGTGGCGACCTCCTGCCAGCGGAGCAGCGGCCACCCTCGACAGCACAGCGCACCCAAGCAAAGTGAGCTGTAAGTGTGGCCCGCCTTCCCCACTGGCATCGAAGCAGAACAAACGCCATAAACATGACCTTTTGGCGCTCCGCGCGGATTTCCTGGATCCGCGCTGGGGCCCCACGGCGGCGCCTCCGGCGCCGCCCCTGGCGCCCTCCCCGCGCCAGGGAGGGGGATCCAGCGCAGGGCCCCTTGGGGCCAAGATGTACCCATATCCACCGCCCGCGGGGGTCCCGGGACGTCGGTTCAACAGGCGATGGGTATGTGTACATCCCTGCCTCCCTGAAGCTTTGCCAGGCTGCGTGGAGGGATGGCCCTACGCAGCCACTGTCTTCCTAGCAGGCCATGACCAGAGACGGTAAGAGGCCTGGCAGAGTTGCCATGGAATTGGGGTCCGGCTTGTATTCTGTGATGATAAGCGTTGTGTCGAACTTGAGTCGCCTTTGGCGACCTTGCTGAGTAGTAATACCCAAGCCTCGCACAGGAGGGCCAAAAACGACCACAAACTGGACGCCAGCGGTAAACCGTTGACCTGGCTACCGTCGACCTCGTAGAGCTCCGCATTGCTGTGGCCGTCGCAGAATTATAAAGATTCTGATGTAGCAAAGGCGGGTTTCAGAGTCCGAATGCTTTTGGCTTGCAGCTCGAGTCGCCGACCTCGTCATCTTAGCCGCCGGCCTCGTCGCACCGCCGAGCGGCAACCCACCGGAGGCTCGCGCGCGCGCCTGGCGCCCCGGCACGCCGGGGCCTGCGGCTCAAGCTCTTCGAGACGTTCGAGGACGGGCGCGGGCTCTCCCCCTCGAGAGCTGCTGGCGCGCGTGGCGCTCGCGCGCCTCTCGGGTGTAGCCATCGACTACACGTAAGAGTGACCCTTCGCCGGAGTGACCGTTGGTGCGGGCTCACCCGGGTCCCTCAGACCGCTGAGCGCGATGCGATAGTGGCTGCTTGCGCCCTTGGATTTGGCCACCTTGCGCCCCCTCAGTCCGCGCACTAAGGTCACTCTTACCCAGGGTCACTCTTGCGTGTCGCCGAAGCCAGGACCCCAGGTAAGGGGACCCGGTTAGTAGTAGGGCCCTGGAGCCCCCAAATTGGCCAGAATCACTAAGCCAGGTGTGCCGTAGCTGGTGCTCTTTCGGGTGACGGCAGTTCCGGTTCGTGGAAAGGGGCGGGGGGGCGTCCCCCAGTACACGTCATGAAACCAGGTCCCTCTCAACCTAGTTCTGCCAACGCCCGAGGCCTCCCGTGACTCGGCCACGCGCAGAGGGGGGGCAGGGGGAGGCGGGAAGGCTTCTTAGGAGCACTCCTGCTTCTCAGCGGGCGTGGGCCTTGTTTGCAGATGCGAGGCCGGCGCCTCGCCTTCCAAGGGGCAGCCTCTTGCCAAGAGGCCTGCGCCCCTTCCCCCCTACCCCCTGGGTGCGCGCCGCCGAGGGACTCGTGAGGCGCCGGGCTCGCCATGGCCGAGGAGGGTCGAGATCCGAGGGTCGAGGATCGAGAAGGTTTCGGTCGCCGCTTGCGGCATCTGCGGGAGCGTCCTGGGCCCCCAGGGGCCGCCGGACACCGGAGCGGGGCGGAAACGTCGGGCACGGCGAGCCCCGCTGAGCTGCAGGAGGTGCGGCTTCGAGCGGGCCTGGGGGGTCGAGGATCGAAGTTCAAGGATGCCTGTTCCAGAGTAGCGTTTCGCCAGAGTGCCCCAATGGTGCCTGGGACTTGGTTCCGTTGTACAGCCTCCTATCGGCAGCGAGCCGATGGGGGGGAAGTCAGAAAGAGAAGGCATTCTCAGAAACACATAATTTTTTAAACTTTCGGCGCTCCGCGCGGATTTCTTGGATCTGCGCTGGACCCCCCTGGCGGAGCGGAGCCGCCAGGGGCGGTGCCGGAGGCGCCGCCGGGGGAGCCCAGCGCGGATCCAGGAAACCCGCGCGGAGCGCCAAAAGTTTCTGTTTATGCAGTTGTCCTTCTTCTGCAGAAGGCGGCGGTGCTTCTGAGAAGCCCTCCGGCCTTCTGAGAGGTTTTTTATCCCTTCGGGGGGGGGGGGGGGGGGGCTTCGAACATTTTTCGGAAGGCCGGGGGGGCTTCCGAGCCTTCTGAGAAGGCCCGCCCCTTCTCACTTCCCCCCCAGGCGCGCCGCCGATCCCAGGACGCGGGCAGTCCTGGATGTCAAGGTGCCCTCAAGGAACGCCCACGGGTCTCGCGCCCTCATCCCGCAGCCGTGGGCGCAGTTCCGAACGGGCCAGGTGGCCCCCAGATGGTGTCTGTCATGGGTGGTTTGCCTGAGTCGGGGAAACGTGAGACTCGAGTAAGCCGGAGCTCGGGTTTGCCGATTTTTGTTTGACGAGCGCGTCCTAGGTTTTTTGACGGTCCCGTTTTCGTGGGATGTCTGCAGCGGGAGCCCGCGTCAGATTTCAGATTGGGTCTCGTCATTTTCATGATGGCCCCCGTCAGGCCAACCCGAGTCCCCCGTACCCGAGTCTTACGTCCGCCCGACTGAGCGCTTGAACCCAGGCGTGCTCCAATGGGGACAACAGTTTGCCTGATTTGCACCACTTGCGCGGGGGGTGCTTCAAGCAGCTGGCAGGCAGGGACATACATGTGAGGGCGGTGCATCCCAGGGAGCCGCCTGTACAGTCGATGGGCACTGGGACAGTCAGGCAATCGCAAACATGGATCCAGGGGGTGTGGATTAGCGACGGGTCCTGTTTCCATGGGAAATTTCGGATTTCCGCCGCTGAACGAGGCGGCACCGGCCGCATTTAAGGGGAGGGCACCTCCCCCGATCCATGGATTTGGCGACCGCGCGCCCAATCCATGGATCGCTAATCCATGTTTGCGCGCCCCCGAGACAGCTGGTCAGACTCTCCCCTGGTGATAGCGCTTGTCTCCCCTCAGCGTATTTCTCATGCTTTCGCAGAGTGCGTTGGCGTAGCGAGAATGGTGAGGGGGTGGAGGAGGAGGAGGAGGAAGAACAAAAGGATAGCCAGTGCAAGAGACTTACCCTGGATACGTGCGCTCTGATTGGATGCCCCTCTTTGCCAACGTTCCCAGGCGATGGTTCATGTGATCGAGACGCTGAGCGCGCTGAATATGATATGTTTGGGCCCTGTGGCGTCATGTATGTTTTACATTCGTGTACTGCGCGGGTGGCCGTCTGCTTCGTGTGGTTCCTCTGTCGCATGTTATCGCAAGCCCAGCCACGTGGGTTGAAGAGACTGGCACGTGGATTGGCATTCCGATCGCGAGTGGCACAAACACCCAGGATCACCGAAACATCTACCTCGCAATGGAGCTGTGCACGGGTGGCGAGCTCTTCGAGCGGATCATAAAAGAGGGCCACTTCGGAGAGGCTGCCGCGAGTCGTTTCTTTCCGAATGGGCGCCCAGCTCTCGTCCATGCTGGAATGACGGGGACGGCGTGCGGGGCATCGAGGGTGTGAGTCAGCGAGCGGGCGGTTGCTGTTGGCGGGCAATTGAGCGGCGCAAGAATTTTGGTTCTCCGAGGCGGGGAATTTATCCATATCCACCGCCTGGAGGGTCAGTTTTCGGAGCCTCGGCAGGCGGTGGATATGGACATATTCGGGCCCCCGGGGTGATTCTGACACCCTCCTCCGTGTACCTATTTTGGCTCAAGATGAAAAGAGATCTTGTTGCTAATCAACACATTATCTCATCATGGTAGCGTGAGCTGGCCACTCACTGTTGCCAACCCACCAGGGCCTTGGCGCGCGCGGGCGCCACGGCGAGTTGGCAAGGCGCGTGGGCTGAGACCCGAGGCTGGAAGAGAGCGGCATCAGCCGCACCAAGCTCGGCAGCGGCCGGGCCACCGGCAGAGGCTGAGAGGAGACCACCGGCAGAGTCCGGGAGGAGTCGACCGGCAGGAGCCGGGAAGAGCGGCCGCAGGCGCGGCAAGAGGAGCGACGCAGCGGTTGAGAATAGACGCCGTCAGCTTCAGTTCAAACACGGCCTGAAGGACACAGGCAACAAGCTGCACGACCTCGCGTATATCGAGGACCACCCGTCGGAGAATTCGTCGGGCGCCATCGAGGAGGCAAAGAAGGAGGTCTTGGATCAGATCATAGACCTCGAGCGCACGAGGCAGGAGATAGCTGAGAGCAAGGAGGAGCTCGCCAGGAGACACGCAGTCAAACATGGACGAGCAAGTCCGGCAGCAGTTCGACTTACTGAGGCAGGAGTTCGCAGCCCGAATGAGTCAGACCGTCGACGAGATGAGGAGGCTGGAGAACGAGAATCAACGGCTTCAGCAGCAAGTAGCAGGAGGCCTCGCGGCGATCCCGCAGGCGATCGAGCGCATGGGCGAGCAGATCCGAGGCGCTACGAACGCGGGAGGAGCCGCACCCGGTCTCGTCGACACGAAGGGGATCGGCAAGCCCACGACGCTAGGCGACGATCAGGAGAAGTTCGGAGCTTGGAACCGCAAGATGGAGAACTACGTGATAGGCGTGTACGGAGAGAGCTTCCGTCCTGTTCTCCGGTGGGCGGCAGAAGCCGAACGCCCCGTGACGATCGAAGGGGCACAGGAGGCGCACGGAGGAGTACCAGAGCTGGAGACCAAGATCAACCAGCTGTACGCGGCGCTGATCAGCACGACGGCGGACGGCAGCGAGAGCAACGACCTCGTGACGGGCGCACCCGACGGGAACGGTCTCGAGGCCTGGCGGAAGCTTCACCGCAGGTGGGACCCGACGACAGGTCCGAGGAAGAGGCTGATCCTGAGGTCGATCATCTCGCCTCCGAAGTGCAACGCGGAAGAGCTGGGGTCCGCCTTAGAGAAGTGGATCCAGCAGATAGGCAAGTACGAACGCCGCCAAGGAGAAGACGGGCTGGCCGAGTTGCCGGAGGATATCAAGATGGCGGCCCTCGAGATGCTCGTGCCTCAGGACATCGAGAACCACCTCGTACTCAACAAGCATCGGCTCGTGACGTTCCAGGACAGCCTGAACGAGGTAATGACGATCGTAGAGGCTCGGACAGGCGTGAAGATCAAGGAGCCATCGATCCGCGCACGGGCGCATCATCCGGACGACATGGACGTCGGATCGTTCGGAGCCCCGAAAGGAAAAGGCAAAGGCAAGGGCAAGGACGGCAAGAGCAAAGGGAAAGGCAAGACCCAGGAGCCGAAGGGGAAGAGCAAATCGACGAGCGGATCATACTCAGGCTCCCGCACATCCCCGACGGGTTCGGGCCGTGGTTCAGGGCACATGGCACCCCGAAGCACCGGCGTGCGCTTCGACGGCTACTGTCGGAACTGCGAGAGATGGGGCCACAAGGCATCCGAATGCTGGAGGAAAGAGCAGGGATCGAGTACGAGGGCTGGAACTGGATCCGCAACGGGGGCAAGCGCTGGTGGTAAAGGTGGCAGCCGCGGCGGCAAGGCCGGCGGCAAGGCGGCAGGCAGCCTGGAGGAGGAGCCTGAGGCGGAGGTCGCCGCTCTGGACATGGGCAGCTTGGACTGCCTGGAGCTCGCCAGCGGCAACGGCCGCGGCGTAGCGGCGGTCGACCTCTCCCCCTTCGTGCAGGACGACTGGATGAAGTTCAACTGGGACAGCGGTGCAGCTGTCTCAGCATTCCCTCGGAGCTTCGCGCCGCCGACGGGAATGAAGGGCAACGGCAGCACGTATCGCACGGCCAGTGGTGAGCTCGTCCCGGACGAGGGCAGCTTGCAGCTCAAGGCGGAGGACGAGTACGGAGTGCTCAGAGCGCTCAAGGGACGCGTGACGAACGTGCACAAGCCGTTGATCTCGGTGGGGCAGGCAGCAGGAGCTGGACAGTGTTCATTCCTAGGCCGCAATGGCGGCTGGATATTCCACGAGAAGAGCCCAATCGGCAAGCGCGTGGTAGGCATGCTGGAGAAGGAGGCGAAGACGGCGAAGCACCAGATGCTGCCGGTCTATCGTGAGCAGGGAGTCTACAACTTCTACCTCAAGAAGGGCCAACATGGCTCGGTTGCTCCTCTCGAGGAGGGACTTTCGGCGAAGTCGAAGTCCGAGCTGGTGGAGCTCCTCAGCAGCAAGTCGAAGGAGGAGCTGCTGGAGATCTTCGAGAGGACAGTCCCCAGGAGGCAGCCCTTGGCGTAAGTCCACTGGAAGACTCAATACCGCGGTCCCCTGCGGCATTGGCTGCAGGGGTGGCAGCGGCGGGGTCGGGACCTTCCGACATGAGACCGCCGGGTTTTCAGCCAGCGGCAGCTGCCGCGGCCGACGTTTTGCCAGCTGCTCCTGATGGACAGCAGGCCGACGAGGGCGAGGAGGAGGCTCGCCCGAGGGTGCTGAAGGCACCTCACGAGCCCTCTCAGAGGGAGATCGTCGAGCACGAGGCGATGGGACACGCGACCTACCGCAGCTGGTGTCGCGTGTGTATTGCGGCAAAGGGCCAAGGCCAGCCGCATCTCCGCGCACCGGAGGACGACGAGACGGCGGTGCCGGTGGTCTCGTCCGACTACGCCTTCATGGGCCAGGACGACGCGGACACCATGCCGATGCTGGTCCTTAGGGATCGACGCTCGAAGATGATGGCAGCGACATTCGTGGAGAAGAAGGGCGACGACGCCTACGCCATCAAGTTCTTCGCACGCTTCTTACGGATCCTGGGCTACAGGAAGATCGTCAACAAGTCCGACGGCGAGCCAGCGATCCTGCTGGTCAAGAGGCGTGCGGTGGAGGAGGTTCCTGGCCTCGAGGCCATTCCCCAGGAGTCGGCACCGGCCGATCATCAGGCCAATGGGGAGATCGAGGTCACGGTGCGCGAGATCAAGAAGCAGGTGCGAGCGCTCAAGATGGACCTGGAGTCCAAGCTGGGCGTCAAGGTGGAGGACAAGCACCCAGTGCTAGCGCACCTGCCGGAGCACGCCGCATCGGTGATCAACCGATACAGGCGCGGCCAGGACGGCAAGACCGCTCTTCAGCGGCTCACGGGACGGCAGTGGAGGAAGCCGGTCCCGCTCTTCGGTGAGCGCCTGATGGTGCGGTTCGCCGGGGAGCGCGCGAGGAAGAACGCGCTGGAGGAGCAGATGGTGGAGGCTCGCTACATCGGCCACCACCCGCGCGACGGCTCGATGATGGTCATCACGAGCGACGGCGTGAAGAAGGCGGTCGGCTTTCGCAGCCTGCCGCAGAGCGAGAAGTGGATCACGGCGGGCTGGGACAGCCTGAAGGGCCTGCCGTGGGACGTGGCTCCGCGCGCGGCCAGTGCGCCGCGAGCCATCGTCGGACCGGGAGAGGCCGGTCCGCCACCGATTGTGGTGGTGCCGCCGCAGCCGCAGGCGCCGAGGAGGATGTACGTTCTCAAGGCGGACGTCGAGCGGCTGGGCGCAACGCCGGGATGCCCAGGGTGCGTCTCGATCGCCAAGCACGGCAAGGTGCTGGCTGGCCATGCGCACAACGCGGTGTGCAGCAAGAGAATCTTCGAAGCGCTGGACGCTGAGGAGGCAGGCCGGGAGAGGACCGGCCAGTATCGAGAGCGGAGGCAGGGCCAAGAGGCCAGAGTCCGCCCGGCGGCAGCGGCCGCGGCAGGGACCCCTCCGCCGAAGACGGCTCGGAGGATCACCGAGCCGGTGGCAGCGGCGGCGTCGGCGCCGGCCGCGAGCCGATCGGCAGCAGCGCCAGCCGCAGCGGCGCGCATGCGAGAGAGCCAGCCGGGAGCATCAGGCTCCGGCGTGGCGGCTCCTTCAGGAGGAGCGAGCTCCAGTTCGGGAGCAGTGAGAGCGGCAGAGGCCGCCGAGGATGTCGACATGACCGCGACCAGGTCGCGGCTGAAGCGCTTGGCGGAGGTGGCCCCGGATGACGTGCCGGAGGCCCTCGAGCGCGGTGATCCACAGCCGGCAGACGTGCCGGTACCGGTGGACATGGAGGATCTCGCGGCGCAGCCGGCGCCAGCGGAGGGACCTCAGCTGCCAGCTGGAGTGGCAGTCGTGTGGAACGCCAGTGAGGGGAGACACATGCGGGTGCTCGCTCTCGACGTGGCGTCGATCGAGCTGGTCGAGCTCGGAGTGCTGACGAGAGCGAAGGCGGAGTTGCTTCCGCTCGTTCGCGAGCAGGTCAGCGGCCATTGGGCCAGCGTCGGCGTGGACATCGCCGACGAAGAGGTGGACAGCATCGCCTTATCGGCGTTGCAGCTGGGCGCCGTGGACGTGGCAGAGGTGCACTCGCCACATCGGTTCTCGGCTCGGGCGGCGGAGTTTCAGCTGCGCCCGGGCTTCGCGGCGGACCTGGAGGAACTCAAGGAGGACGGGACGCCGTGGGACTTGCGGCGACCCGAGGATGTCAAGGAGCTCGAGGAGCAGCAGGAGCGGATGGATCCCATCCTGCTCACAGGGTCCCCTCCATGCGAG